TCAGAATAATTCTTGACACGTTCGAGGACGAATGTTTGGTTTAGAGGTGGAGAATGTATGACTCGATATGTCATTTTTAATTTTAACCTTAATTTATGTATTTTGAGACCTTGAATAGCTCCATTCAGCTTTTCTTGATTTGCGTGCAAAATCTGTATCTTTTTCCGAAAAGTTTTATGTGAAAAAACAAAAAAAATGTGAAATTTGCCTTTAAAACTTATTTGAGTTGACTTCGGTCAATGTTTTGAGCAAACGGATGCAGATCAGTATTTTGACGATTCCGGTGGGTTTGTATCGTGATTTGGGACTTGAGCGTATGTCCGAAATCAAATGTGGAAGTCCCTAGTTTGAATTATCGCCATTTGACGGAAACTAGAAATTTAAAGGTTTAAAGAATTCCAAAATTTGGCCATAATTGAATTTTTGTTGATACCTGGTCCCGATTTGGATTCCGATAGTTCGATCAGCTTTGTAATAATATTTATGATTTATGTACAAAATTTGAAGTAATTCTGAGGTGCGTAGGCACGTTTTCCGTTAGTTTTTGCAAAAAATAAAATAAAAGGTTTGATTTTATAAAGCTTGAATTTGTAAAGTTTGACCGGAGTTTGACTTTTGAGCAAACGACTTCGGAATCGAATTTTGATGATGTCAATAGCTTTGTATGGTGATTTTCGGCTTAGGAGTGTGTCCGGATACGTATTTGGAATTCCGTAATTGATTTTGGCTTGAAATGGCGAAAGTTGAAAAATGGAAGATTTTTAGAAAGTTTGACCGATTGTTTAATTTATTGATATTAGGTTCGGAATTCAATTATGGAAATTGAAACATCTCCATTATGTAATTTATGACTTGTTGCAAAATTTGAAGTCATTCCGGATTGATTTGATACGTTTCGGCACAAGATATAGAGTTTGGAAAATTTCATAAACTCTTAACTTCGATTCGAGGTGTGATTCGTTGTTTTGGTGTTATTTGATGTGATTTGAGGCCTCGACAAAGTCCATAATAAGTTTTGAGACTTGTTGGTATGTTCGGACGGGGTCCCGAGAGGCTCGGGTGAGTTTCGAAGTGGTTTCGGAATATTTCTAGGCCATTTTTAACTGCTGGTTTTTGGCTACAGCAGTGTGCATCGCAGAAATTTCTGCTGCGGAGGGCTGACTTTGAAAGCTTATATCTCCTAATCTGTAAGGAATTTAGAGATGAAACAAATATAAAAGTTGTAGTCCTTTGAGTCTAGTTTCCAGAAATGTAAATCATTCATAATTTGGACATAGGAATAGAAAGTTATGTTCGACTAACTAAAGCCTGGTACTGCACTTGTTTTTCCTCGCAGTGTGCATCGCAGAAATTTCTGATGCACATGGCTGACTTTGGAAGCTTATATCTCGTAATCTCTATGGAATTTGACGATGATCCAAAAATAAAAATTGTATCCCTTTGTATCAAGTTTTCATAAATTTAAACCGTTTGGCAGTTGGAGTTGAGTACAAAAGGTTATGGTTGATATACTACAGGCTATCTGGGAAGGGTTTTTGGAAGAGTTTGGTGTTTTGAGCATAAGCATGTAATGATCCAAAGGTCCATTTTTAGTTCTAGAGATCGAAATTCGATTTCGAGACTTTTGAGAGTTTGATAATGAAATATAGGAATGATCTGGAATGTTTTGTCTAATTTCATCAAGTCCCGATTGGGTTTTTGGCGCGAAACATGAGTTAATTGTTTAACGAACGAAATTGGTATCGCATTGAGAAAATGAGCTCCGAATTGAGTTTCGATTGAACGACTAGGTTAGTATTATTATTTGTGACTCATAGGAACAAGAATCGTCGACTTCTGAGTTCGTATGATGTACTTAGAGCCTTTTTACAACAACAACAACAATAACCCAGTATAATTCCACTAGTGGGGTCTGGGGAGGGTAGTGTGTACGCAGATCTTACCCCTACCCTGGGGTAGAGAGGCTATTTCCGATAGACCCTCGGCTCCCTCCCTCCAAGACCTCCCCACCTTGTTCTTGGGGTGACTCGAACTCACAACCTCTTGATTGGAAGTTAGAGCCTTTTTAGTGAAATATTAAATTGTTGGTGCAAGCAGGCCCTGGTGTGGACCTTTAGTGACGGGAAATGGACTTTTAGTGATGAAAAATAGACTTTTAGTGACGGGAAATGGGTTTTTATTGAGCAGTTTCATTTTTTTTTAGCTTATTTCAATATTTTTGGAGCTAGGGAACTCGGATTTGGGCAATTGTTGAGAGGATTTTTACCAAATGGATTGGGGTAAGTGTTTTATACTCAGTTTATATTATATTTCATGATTCCATGATTGTTTTCATCTTTTATTAGTGAATCAATTGGAAGAAGATGGGATTTTTGCAAAATTTTACAAAAATAAAAATTTAAGATTTGGAGGTCGATTCGTTATGGGAATTTGGTAAATTTGGTATGGTTGAACTCGTATCGAAATGGGTGTTCGGACTTCGTGCAAAATCTATCAGGTTCCGAGAGGCAAGCCCCGCGTTGACTTTTTAATGTAAAATTTTAAGTTGCCATTTTATTTAAGATTTGGAGGTCGATTCGTTATCAGAATTTGGTAAATTTGGTAAGGTTGAACTCGTATCAGAATGGGTGTTCGGATTTAATAAAAATTCTGTTGGGTTCTGAGAGGCGGGCCCCGCGTTGACTTTTTAATGCAAAATTTTAAGTTGACGTTTTATTATCCGGAATTATTTTCGATAAATTTTAATGAAGTTATACAATCAAGTTGGATAGATTTGAGTTGTCCGGAGGTCAATTCAAGCAAGAACGCTATTTTGGAATATCGACATAACTTAAAAAAGGTAAGTATCTTGCCTAACCTTGAGTGGGGGAATTACACCTTAGGCATTGAGTCTTATTTGGAAATTGTGTAATTGAAAACCATGTACGCGAGGTGACGAGTACGTACTTGGTTTATATGTACAATTTATACCGGTTAAAATTTGTAGACACCCTTATATATTAAATTGGAAAATTATTGGAACATAGTAAATCCTTTATTTGTCATGCCTCGTTCCTTGTTTGTCGAGTTTGTATTTTATATGATAATTTGGGGTGATTGCCACTTGGATTTTATGTGAATTTCGTTTATTTGTTGATTTGATATTTCTTGGAATTAATTTCATTATGGATTTTCCATCTGTAAATAATTAATTAAATAAGCTTAAAAATAGGCGTTAATATATTTATCAAAAATTTGGATTAAAGAAGGTGTTGTCCTATGCTGAGTTACTTTTCCATCTATGTTGTATCTTTGGAGTTGGTTGTGGCAGGTGGACAAATTGTGATATGAATTATTGTATTGTGTTGTCATTTAAACACTCTCCTTGATGTTATTTATGCTTTCTATCTTTCTTATTAATGATATACATGTACTTGGTAAGGAAGAATGTAAAGCACAAAGGGTGATGTCATGCCATTTGAGAGTGTAAAGCACGAAGGGCGATGCCGTGCCATTTGAAAGTGTAAAGCACGAAGGGTGATGTCGTGCCATTTCAGTTATATTATCATGTGAGGAAAAGTATAAAGCACGAAGGGTAATGCCGTGCCATTCTTAATATGCACGAAGGATAATGTCGTGCCATTTCATTTATATTATCATGTGAGGATGAGAGTAAAAGCACGAAGGGTGATACCGTACAATTATTTTTATATTATCATATGTTCATGACACGAAGGGTGTTTCCGTGTAGGCTAGGACAAGAGACATACATTATATTGTGATATCTTTTCGCTGTGTATACATTTATGCCTTTATCTTGAGCTGTTATTGTGCACCTATATTTTCTCTGTGTCTTGTAGTCGTTGTTGCTTCATGTGTGCCTCCCACTANTAAAAGATGTATATTTTGAAGGACTTGATTAATTGGTTGTACTTGTGTTTATTATTCATTTGAGTAATATTTATGGTGTTCCTATTGCCTTTCTATTTATGTCACAAGTTGATTATTGTTGCCATCACTGCTATTTGTTTTCTATTATTTTTGTATTCTATATTGCACATATTATTTGACTAGTGAGTGTCTTGACTGTACCTCGTCACTACTCTCCCGAGGTTAGTCTTCATACTTACTGGGTACCGACTGTGGTGTACTCATACTAAACTTCTGTACATTTTTGTGTAGAGCCAGGTATTGGAGATATCAGATTCGGGTAGAGATTAGAGTGTGATCGCAGGGATTCAAGGTAGGACTGCTTGGTCGTCGCAGCCCCTTGGAGTCTTTCCATTATATTGTACTATCAACTCTTATTCGAATAGTATTATATATTCGATCCTTGAGATCATTCCATGTATCCAGTTAGAGTTCATGACTCTTTTTACCAGTCTTGGGAGGTTGTTATAATTATATGTTTAAAAACAATGGCTCGAAATGAAATTGTAACCGGCTTACCTAGTCTTAGAGACTAAGTGCCATCACGACGCCTGTGGTGGGATTTTGGGTCGTGACAGTGGTCATCATATACGAACGTTTATGCTTCATTTACTTAATTAAACATTCATCATCTAATATTTTATTTACTTCATTAATGATTTTGACCTAGAGAACTAGGACATATTAGGCATATGTTTGTTACCTGTTATTTCTACACGTGCCTTACTTGATTTTGGATAAATTAGGGTTATTACTTACATATAAATCACATCTTGGTTAATGTTATTAATTAAGAGAGTTACGTACATCTCAACATCCTCATTTCTGCTACTTTCATCTCAACTCCTAAGGACAAAGCTCATGAGTTGGGTGAAAAGTTGCTGGCTATAGGGGCCTGGAAGAGTAGCGGGGACGCAAGTGGTATGTGGACATTGACGGCGAATTGCAGAGAGGTTGTGAGAGAACTATTATGGGTCTCGAAGGGTTACTCTGGCGATCATAAAAGGAAGTGGTGGTGGAATAAAGAGGTCCAAGGAAAAGTGGAAGCAAAGAAAATGACGTATTTGAAATTAGTGGAGAGCACATAAAAGATGAACAAAGAAGAGTATAAGAAGGCTAAGAAGGAGGAGGAGTTAGCAGTCACAGAGCCCAAGACTGCAACATTTGGTTGTCTGTATGAAGAACTGGGGAACAAAGGTGGGGACAAGAATCTATTCAGGCTGGCCAAGGTAAGAGAAAGGAAGGCTCGTGATTTGGAACAAGTGAGGTGTATCAAAGATGAGGAAGGCATAGTTTTAATGGAAGATTCACAGATTAAGCGAAAATGGCAAACTTACTTCCATAAACTCATGAATGAAGAGGGGGACAGGAATATTGTGTTAGGTGATTTGGAGCACTCTGAGGATCATCGTGATTTTAGTTATTGTCAGCGCATAAATATTGAGAAAGACGTGGGGGGCTATGCGTAAGATGAGCAGGGATAAAGAGATTGGGGTTGACGAAATTTGGTGGAATTTTAGAGGCACGTAGGTAGAGCAGGCTTAGAGTGGCTGACTGGGTTGTTTAAAGTTATTCCTAGGATGAAGAAGATGCCCGAAAACAAAAGGTGGAGTACAACGATCCCGTTGTACAAGAACAAAAGTGGTGTCCAAAATTATAACAAATATAGGGGTATTAATTAAGTTGCTTAGTAATACTATAAAAGTTTAGGAGAGAGTGGTGAAAGTGAGGGTAAGGAGGACTATGTTTATATATGAGAACCGGTTCGGATTCATGCCAAAACATTCGACTACGAAATCCATCCACCTTGTCAGGAGGTTAGTGGAATAATACAAGGAAAGGAAGAAGAATTTGCATAGTTTTTATTTGCCTTGGCGATGGACGCACTGACGCACCATATTCAAAGAGAGGTGTCATTGTGTTTATTTTTGATGACCCGATAGGTCATCTTTAAATTTAACATTTAATTCTATGCTCCGAGATCTCGATTAGCACCATTTAGCTTTTCTCGACTTGCGTGCACAATCCGTATATTTTTCCGAAATCTTTTATGTGTAAAATTGATAATTGTGTGAAATAATGGTTCAAAACTCATTTGAGTTGACTTCGATCAACATTTTGAGCAAACGGATCTAGATAAGTATTCTGATGGTCCCGATGGATCCGTATTGTGATTTGAGACTTGGGCATATGCTCGGAATCAAATTCGGAAGTCCCTAGCTCGAATTATCGCCATTTGACGGAAACTAGAAACCTAAAGGTTAAAGATTTTCAAAGTTTGACCATAAATTTAACTTTGTCGATATCAGACTCGGATTGAGATTTCGAGAGTTCGAATAGCTCCGTTATGTTATTTGGGACTTACCTATAATATTTTAGGTGATTGTGGATTGATTTGACATGTTTCGACGAGGGTTATAGAATTTAAAATTTCATAAACTAATAAGTCCAAATCAACGCGCAATTTGTAGTTTCGTCATTATTTGACGTGATTTGAGACCTCGAGTAGGTCCGCGTTATGTTACAGGACTGGTTGGTAAATTGGAATGGGGTCCTGAGTGGTTCGGGTGAGTTTCGGACAAGATTCAGATTGTTTAGAGCATGTTGATTGAAGCTGGTTCTAGGCAGAACCAGGTGCAATCGCACCTACAGAATGTTGGAGCGCAGGTGCGGCTCTGCTTCTGCGTGAAATGCGTCGCTTCTGCGACCTAGGCACTGGATTATTGCTTCGCTTCTGTGGAGAAATTTGGCGCAGGTGCGCAATCGCCTCTGCGAAGGAAGGACAACTTCTGCGGTCGATTGGTCGCTTCTACGATGTCGCAGGTGCGACATTATATTGCGCAGGTGTGGCCATGGATGCGAGCTCGCAGGTGCGCAAATCAGTCCTTAAGTTCAAGGGTTTGACATTTTTAGTTCATTTTTGAGTTTTAAGTCTCGGATTTGGGTGATTTTAGAGGGATTTTTCACGAGTTTGAACTGGGTAAGTGTTCTTTATCCTAAATTGATTATATTTCATGATTCCATACTTATTTATATCATGAATCCGTGAATTTAATTGAAGAAAATGAGATTTTTATAAAACCTTCCAAAAAGTAAAATGAAATTTGAAAGGCGATTCGATGTCGGAATTCGATAATTTTTATATAGTTGAACTCATATCGGAACGATGTTTGGATTCCGTAAATTTTTGTCGGGTTTCGAAAAGTGGGCCTCATGTTGACTTTCGGTTGACTTTTCTGAAAATGACTTAAATTAAGCCTCTTTCGAATTGTGAATAATTTCTAAAGCTCCAATTGAATTGTTGACCAAGAAATTGCTAGGTTTGATTAATTTGGAGACTAATTCGAAAGGAAAGGTCGTGGTCGAGTGATTACTTGAATTGCGAAGCAAGGTAAGTGTCATGATTAACCTTGACTTGAGGGAATAGAACCCTTGAACTATGTGTTACGTGAATTTCATGTGTAGCGGCGTATAGACAAGGTGACGAGTGTCTATACGTCGTCAAATTGCTAGTTTCCATGCTTTTACGTATTTCACTAATTGCCTTATTTCATGAATTAATTGTTATACTAATTTATTCTCTTATTTTCATTGCATACTATTATGCCTTGATTTCATGCCTTAATTACTATCTGCTTATTTGACTTTTGTGTCATAATTGCTAATTGACATTTAGCATTTCATATATTAAATTGCATATCTCCTCCCTGATTTCACACTTATTTGTTACTTGTCCCTAATTGTTTCTTTTATAAATCATAATTGTTGTATACCTTGTTGCCTTATAAATAGAATTGATTGAAAGATATATTGGGGATCGAGTTACATACCGCAACAGAATTGAATAAAAGTTTGTATTGTGGGACCAGATTGTATGCCGCAATAGAATTGATTGAAAGATTATATTGTGGGAACAGGTTGCACGCCGCAACAGAATGATAAAAGTAATAATTGATTGTGACTGCCGAATTGTCCTCGATTGTGGATATGAGTTACTCGTTTTACCTCTATTCCTATTATTATTATTATTATTATTGCATACAGGTTAATGTAAGCGATCTACCTTAGCCTCGTCACTACTTAGTCGAGGTTAGGCTCGGCACTTACAGAGTACATGGGTTCAATTTTACTCATACTACACTTTGTACTTCTTGTACAGATACCGAAGTTGGTCCCAGCGGCGTACCGTAGACTTGCTCGGATTCAGCTACCAGAGGAGACTTGAGGTATAGCTGCATGGCGTTCGTAGATTTGAAGTTCCCTTCTACTTTATCTTAGTTGTGTATTTATTTTTCAGACAACTTTATTTTTTTATTTAGACCTTTATTTATATTATTCTAGTATTGACAAGGTGGGTTGCTCTGATAGTAAGCACCCTCCACTTCCAACTAAGAGGTTGTGAGTTCGAGTCACCCCAAGAATAAGGTGGGGAGTTCTTGGAGGGAAGGATGCCGAGGGTCTATTGGAAACAGCCTCTCTACCCAGGGTAGGGGTAAGGTCTACGTACACACTACCCTCCCCAAATCTCACTAGTGAGATTATACTGGGTTGTTGTTGTTGTTGTTGTTGTTGTTGTTGTTGTATTTATATTATTCTAGTAGCTCGTGTACTTGTGATACCAGTTCTAGGATGATATTTTAGACATTGCTATTATTTTGATTTATTCACTTTAGTTCAGATTTTATTCCAGTTATTTGGTTTCTTTATTATTAATTAAATTGAATTGTTAAAAGTGGCTAAAGTTATTCTAATGTTGGTTTGCCTAGCAAGTGAAATGTTAGGCGCTATCACAGTCTCGAAGGTAGAAATTTCGAGTCGTGATAATATTATTTGCAGATGATATACTATTGACTAACGAGATGCAAGGTGGTGTTAACGACAAGTTAGAGGTTTGGGGACAAGCCCTAGAGTCTAAAGATTTCAAATGAGTAGGACTAAGATAGAATACTTGGAGTGCAAGTTCAGTAAGGTAATGGAGGGTGCGGACATGGACGTGAGCCTTGATTTACAAGTCATCCCCGAGAGAGAAAATTACAAGTATCTTGGGTCTATTATCCAAGAGAATAGAGAGATTGACGAGGATGTCACATATCGTGTAGGGCGGTGTGGATGAAATGGAGGTTAGCATCCGGCGCCTTGTGTTGACAAGAATGTGCAACCAAAATTTAAAGATAAGTTCTATAGAATACTGGTTAGACCAACTATGTTGTATTGGGCAGAGTGCTGGCTAGTCAAGAACTCCTATATCCAAAAAATAAAAGTAGCAAAAATGAAGATGTTGAGATGGATGAGCGAGCATACTAAGTTGAATAAGATTAGGAATGAATACATCTGGGTAAAGGTGTGTGTGGCCCCCATAAAGGACAAGATGCGGGAAGTGAGACTTAGATGGTTCAGGCATGTGAAAGGGAGAAGCTTAGGTGCCCCAGTAAGGAGGTGTGAACGGTTGGTTTTGCTGGGTATGAGAAGAGGTAGAGAGAGACCAAAGAAGTATTGGGGAGAGGTGATCAGGTAGGACATGTCGCGGTTTCAAGTTAACGAGGACATTTTCCTTGATAGGAGGGTGTGAATGTGGAGAATTAGGGTAGAAGGTTAGTAGGTAATCAAGTATTTTTCTATTCCGTACCAGGATTTTTAGGGTTATAGTGTCTTGTTCTTAGATTGCTAGTGTTACATGATGCTTTCCTACTATCTTCCGCATTTGTTTATTAATATTATCTTGCTGTTGTTACTGTTTGTTGCTACTACTTCTTCTCGTTTATTTTTCCGCTTCTTAGATTAATATTATTACATTTTCGGCCTTTATGATTGATATTGCTTGTTTCTAGTGTTGCTTTGCATCTTCTTGAGACGAGGGTTTATTGGTATTAACTTCTTTACCTCCCAAGGGTAGAGTTAAGGCCTGCGTATACACTATCTTCTCCAAACTCCACTTGTGAACTCACTGGATTATTATTGTTGTAAGAGAGTTACATATCACTTAGAGCAATTTTCGACACGATCAATTCGAAAGTCAATAATCATATGCAAAACAATCACCAATGTTGATAAATGTTCATGTTTCCTTTTTATTTGTTTACTATTTCTGAAAATTATCTATTTCGCCAACCATGACTCTAAACAAATATAAGGGTATTAATTAAGTTACTTACTAATACTATAAAAGTTTGGGAGAGGGTGGTAAACGTGAGGGAAAGGAGGACTATGTCTATATACGAGAACCGGTTCGGATTAATGCAAAAACATTTGACTACGGAAGACATCCACCTAGTCAGGAGGTTAGTGGAATAGTACAGGGAAAGGAAGAAGGATTTGCATAGTTTTTATTTGTCTTGGCAATGGACGCACTGAGGCACCATATTCAATGAATGGTGTCATGGTCTATATTTGTGATGACCCGATAGGTCATCTTTAAATTTAATATTCAATTTTATGCTTCGAGATCTCGAATAGCACCATTTAGCATTCTTCGACTTGCGTGCACAGTCAGTATATTTTTTTTAAAAACGTTTATGTGAAATAGTGCTTCAAAACTCATTTGAGTTGATTTCGGTCAATATTTTGAGCAAACAGATTTGGATTAGTATTCTGACAGTCCCGATGGGTCCGTATCGTAATGTGGGACTTGGGCGTATGTCCGGAATCAAATTCGGAAGTCCCTAACTCGAATTATCGTCATTTGACGGAAATTAGAAACCTAAAGGTTAAATATTTCCAAAGTTTGATCGTAAATTTGACTTTGTCGATATCGGACTCGGATTGAGATTCCATATGTCATATGGGACTTACCTGCAAAATTTGAGGTGATTCCAGATTGATTTGACATGTTTCGACGCGAGTTATAGAATTTAAAATTTCATAAACTCATAAGTCTGAATCGACGTGCGATTTGTCATTTTTTCGTTATTTGACGTGATTTGAGACCTCGAGTAGGTCCGCGGTATGTTACCGGACTGGTTGGGATATTTGAACGAGGTCCCGAGTGGCTTGGGTGAGTTTCGGATGAGATTCGGATCATTTAGAGCATGTTGAATGAAGGTGGTTCTGGG